ATGTACAAAATCTATTACATGTAAAGAAATAGCCAAGCTTTTTCTTGATAATATCTATTACTACTATGGATTGTTTAAGGATATTATATTGGATAAGAGAATTCAGTTTATATCAAGATTTTTAAGAATACATTTTAAGATTTTAAAGGTAGACATAAATTTATCTTTGGCTTTTTATTCTCAAATTGATGGACAAACAAAGCATATGAATCAAGTTTATTGACTTATCAAATGAGACATTGCAATTATCACAACCTTCAAGACGATGTCATAGAAATAAAGACCTTTAAGAATGACATGTTCTTCCTTGAATATATAGTGAGATAGAATGCATTTGATATCACAACCTAAGAAGAGAGTCTTAATATTTGGTGATTTTATTAGAGGTAAAAATAACTCCTAATGGTGTTACAAATATTTTATTTGAAGGAAATTACAAAGGTCACAAAAATTATCAAATAACAAAGTGGTCTTCATGCCCTAGAATGAGACATTACCAATGGTTTAGAGGACTTATCAACTACCTTGAAAGAAAACAAAGATTAAAGTACATGATAAATATAATTTTTTATATCTTAGACTTCCTTAATATGTAATTACTGCTCCTTATAGAACTCTTTCTTAGAAAAAGAGGTAATGTTATGGACATATATTTATTGTAACTATTACGAAGATATTATGAATAGATAGAAGTATGTAAAAGTAGATTAATTTTATAATGTCTTCTAGAAAAACTTCCTAGAAGCTTCATAGATGTTGTTTTGACTTTATATGTCTTTGTAGTTGATTAGTAGATTAGAAACTTAGTCAATAAGATAACTATGGACCAGACATATTGGTAGCTTGTGGAATAAGCTAACTATGTGGTGCCCATATAAAAAACTTGCTTTGCAAATTAAGATACATGTTGTGCAAAGTCAACATGTTTTGGAGGTCCTATAGAACATTGTCATGTATCTCTTAGATAGATACTATATATTGAGGCAAGAATGAAGCCTTCTTTATTCTTGTCAACTCCTTTCTTATTTCTAGTGTAATTTTAAGAATCTCTAATTTTCTTATTTTTTATCAATAGCTATTTCAATTTCTTTTAATATATATACTTCTTTATTTCTATTTTGTCATACTTCTTTGAGAAAGTTTTACTTGTTTATTTGCTTTCATCAAGTTCTTGTCCTTGATAATTAGTTACAACTAGATATTTGAAATTTTTTTGGCCTCGTCTACACTTTTATATCCATAAGTAACATAAAATCAAGTGAAGTTTGGTAGCATTAGTAGGTGCTACACATCATGGTTTTGTAAGAGTTAGATTCTTGATTTTGTAATTCACCACCAACTAGAATTAGATAGGCTTATATATCCAAAATAGGTAGAAGAGAATCTTCTAAAAAAAAATTTATATAAATTTTATTATTGGACCAAATTGTGTGAAAAGACTTGAAATCTTCTTAATTTTTATTTTTCTATATGGAAGTATTTGTTTTCTATTTTTTACCTACTACATATATATTAAAAAAATTAAATTATTAAAAATAAATCATTTATCTTAGTATTCATTTTATAATAAAATTAACTTATATATATATATATATATATATATATATATATATATATATATTTATTTATTTAAAAATATTATCATAGAATTAAAAAAATTCACTTGAAAATTTTTACTTCAGAGCCTAAATAAAAGATAATAAATATATTTGAAGTAACACCTATAAAAAAATATTAAAATTGGTTCTTTTTTTATCAATTATATATGCAACAAAAATTGATACATTTTACACATTGAAACTTGCTCTTCCAAGATCTACACTAATATAGCTTTACATTCTAAATGTGCTTGAATAAAAAGTTTAAAATTCAAGAGATTAAATGAAGCTATTGTATATATAAATTGGTCATAGCTACCATTAAATAAATTTGAAGATTATTCAAGAATCAAATCTTATAGAGATACTATAGAGCATTTGAAATAAACATAACATATTATATTGATTTTCACAAACTTCAATTAATCCTATGTAGTTTTTTAATAATATCATGATATTATTCTTAGTGACTTTTAACCAACTAATGAGAGAAGGATTCATTGTTAGCTTAAATCCTTCTGCTGCTACAATATAAATCTTATATATCTTATCTACAAGATGACTTCAAAACTATGAAATTTCATGACCTTGTATAAAGTATAAAACCTCACATAATTCATAAAATTTCTATCCAAAAATATTATAAATTAAAAAGATATATTTATATATATACATATATATAATTTAATATAATATTTTTTAATAATTATAAAAATAAATATAAAAATTAATAAATTAAAAAAATCACACAATTTTATTTCAATAAAATTAATTTATGATTTTGTAAAAAAAATATAATTATTTTATTTATCTAATTGGATATTTTATGAAAATAAATCTATACACATATAACCTAATTATATTATTTTAAAATAATACATTCAAGTTAATATTTAATAGAATGTAATATTTAATACGATTAAAGTAGACACTTCATGACTAGTTACTTATGGCAACAAATGTTTACCTCATAAATTTTTACCTCATGAAAAAATGTTGTAGGAAAAAAAATATATATATATATATATATATCTTATTTGCACACGTGAATGTAAGTTTTTTTTAATTGTGTGTAGCTTTTAATGAAGCAATCTCCTATTATCAACAACAAATAAATATAAAACATAAAAGGACGACAACACATTTGAATGAGGCGATAAAAACTTAACCATAAAATGAAAAATAATAAAGAAATATGGTAGGGAATAAGAGATCAATTATCAATGAGGAGATAGTTTTCATCGGTAAATTAGACAAGAGAGGTAGCTGAGCTAGCACTTGTAGAGCAAGGACCGGGTGGACCTCACGACTTGGGCCCCCCGTCGCAAAAATCCACCTCCTCCTCCAAAATAAAGTATTAAAGGTGACACTTAGAGCTGCCATCTTGTCTCAGGTTTGGAACTTTCACAAAACCCAGCAACTGGATTTGCCGCCTCGCATTGCATCGAAACTGGGGTGCCGCTTCTTCCAAGGCCTGTGCTGATCCAGCTCCCTTGAAAAGAAGCAAGGCAACACGGCACCAGGCTACCTCGATCCCAACCCATCGATTGTGGGAGGACAGTTTCTGTTTTTGGTTTTATTGATCTGGATTTAATTCACGTGTTCCACGACGACAAGGCTGCGGTGCTACTATGCTTCGAGGACCCACCTTGATCACAGCTGGAAGACTGAGCTAATCTGATACAATTCGGGGTGGAGTGTGTCCATACCGCGGAGTTTTTACCTCCGTTTGACGCACTGCATGCGCCAGATGCTAGAGCATCACCATATCTCAGCCTGTAGCTGTGCACCATCCGCTGATTCAGCCCACCTGGTTGCCTGCGACGATGGAGATCTGGTGGCGGAGTAATACCCTTAAAGCTAGGAGTTAGGGCTTTGAAATCACTGAGACAGTTTGAAGCTCACAGAGACCTGAGTCCTGCTTTGTAGTCACAAGATGAATGCCACCTGGCAACTGGATGGAAGTGTTAATCCAGGCAGAGCAACTCGGAAGAGCCACGCGGCGTCGACAAGTCCATGGAAGTGTGCGCTTCCTCGTGTCGATGAGGAGCGGCCAATTGGTCGTCATTCTAGTACCGACAGTGCTTATCGAACTGTCGGTATTCACTGTCTCTGAATGTGGGGGTATATTTTGACACTATGTTTTGAGTTAGTTAATAGAAGTCAATGTGTTTGTAACATGTCTATACTAACTATCGTTAAAAATATGAAAATTGTATGAAAAGTAATCGACAAGATTTGCTGCTTGTATTTTAAGACTTTTAAGGTCAATTTGTATGATCTGACGGTTACAAAACAGTAAAGATGTCTAGTTTCTGTATAGATATCGTGCTTTCACAAAAGCCTGATTGTACTAAAAAGTTTGTACACATTTAAAGTCCATCCTTTGGTTGTTTAGAGTTTACCTTACCTAATTCAACGTTACTATAGTGTTGACATTGTTCCAAAAAAGCAACATGCAAAAGGAATGGGAGAAATTGGTTGGTAATGCATGATTAATTGTGGTTTGTTACAGTATTCATGATTCAAATCATATCTTTAATATATTTAAAAATACTAAAAACAATAGATTTAAAATTTTAGAATACAATCAAAAGCTATTAAAATTGATTTGCACTCAACCAAGAGTAGATTACATTAAGCAGTAACCTTTACAATAATTCTTTTATACATGTTGTACATAGTTATCAGTACATAACAACCAAGCATTCACAGACCTTATTCTTCATTCTCAAATAAAGTGCAAAACTTAATTCACATATTCATACAAAAAATCTTGAAATATACCCCATATACCAAGCTTCAAAATATATACATACACACATCTCTCTCTCTCTCTCTCTCTCTCTCTCTCCATATATATATATATATATATATATATATCTTTGCTACTTATATGTACAGCCACACCAAACCATCTCTATATTCAAACCAACTTCCAACATCCAGAAAAACTTCAAAGTCAACCTCAAGTCTCCACTATTTTCAAAACTTGTTCAACCTCAACTTATAGTGTATACATATAGAGACACACACACATACACAAATAGCGAGACATTAATATAGATATGTGTGCACATATACATTTATATAGAAAACTAGAATAGAATACCAAGCATTTGTTAACCCCACGCAGCTCTAAAAATCACAATCCTCACGTAAATACGAACATGGGCTGGACCCACAACAACCGTCATCCACCACACCCAATGGCCAACACGTGTCACTCGCTGATCTGGTGCCCTTTCATGAAGCCAAGTGGCAATCCCTTGGTGGCCACGTTTGGAGTACCGGTCACCTGAGTCCACAACACGCGTCCATGCTGACGCATTCCCCGGCCCCGTCTCTGCCCTAGCCCACTAATCCTCTTGAGAGAAGGGAAACGAGGAGATTTCTTGTGCTGATATAAATATTTCAACACCCCATCGTTTCGTCATATCGTCTCGTTTCCCGTTCCATCACATTGTATTCACCCCATTACTTTGTATCTTTCTCTGTCTCATTACCATCATCATCTTTCTCTTCGGGTTTTGTAGCCAAAAGCGTTTTTGAGACGCTGAGTTGAGGTTGCGACAGGTGGTGAGTGAAAGTGTCTTCGAACAGTTCGACTTTGAGTCTCGGGTTTGCTTATTTGTTCAAACAACGACTGGGAGAATGGCCAACCACACTGTCGGTGATGCTGCTAATCAGGGGTGAGGATCATAATGTGGACTCGCTGGAGGATTTTTGAGGAGAATAGGGGTTAAAAGAAGGTTCTTTACCAGTGTTGGCGAAGTGTGATGATCCTGTTCTTTCATGGTTGAAGAGTGTTGAGATTTCTGGGTCTGATCGTGATGTGGGTTTTCTCAATGTGGTCTTTTTCGTGTCTTGCAGGAAGGCTGATGGCGATAGGACCATGACGGATGCTTCGAATGCTGCCGCGCATACTGCTGATGCCGGAAAGGCGAAGGCGGATCAGGCTGCTGACGCCGCCCAGGATTACTCTAGACAGGCTGGTGACATAATTGCGAACACCTATGACAATGCCAAGGACAATGCACAGAAGGTGAGGAGGTTTCGCAGTTACATGCTTTGTTCGCATTCGGTCTTTGATGTCATGCGACAGAGCAGGAGATATTTTCCCTGGAGAAGTGTAATCTTGATATCGTGTTTGCTTTTTCTTTTGCACATTCTTCGACAGTCTTGTGCCCGGAGTTGAGATATGTGTCTGGAATTTGACAGGCTGCAGCAAATGCCAACGACTACAGTCAACAGAAGGCTTCGGAGGCACAGGACGCTGCCAGATCCGGATACCAGAGTGCCGCGAACTCGGCCCAAGATGCTGCGCAGCAGGGGAAGAGCACTTTTCAAAATGTAGCGAACAAAGTGTGTGCCACCGCCGCGTCCGCTAAAGACACTGTTATCGACAATGCTGTCGCTGCCAAGGATTCTGCGTACTCCGGTGGTCAGCAGTCTAGAGACGTAACAGCGCAAAAGGTTGGCGAGGCCCAGGAGGGTATTAAAAACATGGCAATTACGGGACAGGAGGGTGCGCAGGCCGCCAAGGGGTACGTCCAACAGGCTGTAGACACGGTGCTTCAAACTGCTTATGCTGTGAAGGATGCGGTTGTGGGTAAGGCTCAACAAGCCGCCAATGTTGCAGTGGATGCCAAGGATACCACGGTGCAGAAGTCTATGGAGACTTACGATGCTGGCTCGACGAAGGCAGCGGGCACAACCAGTGCCGCAAAGGATCAAATCTTGGCCGCCAAGGACACCACTGTGCAAAAGGCGAACGAGGCTTACAACATGGCCGCCCAGAAGGCCAATGAGGCATACAACTACGCTGCAGACACCGCCAATGTCGCTGCTCAGAAAGCTGTGGCGGCCAAAGACACTGCCGTAATCACGGCAACGGACACTTACCACGCCGCTGTCGACAAGACTCTGCAAGCCAAGGACACCGCTGTTCATGCAGCCGACGATACCTACAACGCTGCTGCCACGAAGGCACTGCAAACGAAGGATGCGACTGTCAAAGCAACAGCGAATGCATACAATGCTGCTGCACAGAAGGCTGTCAATGCCAAGGATGTGACTGTAGATGTCGCAGCGAAGTCATATAACACGGTTGCTGAGAAGGCTGTAGCTGCGAAGGATGCGACCTTGAACACAGCTAGTAATGGTTACAACACTGCTGCTGAAAACACTGTTGCAGCCATGGATGCCACCGCCGCTGATGCCCGTGTAGCTGCTGATAAAACAAGTGATACTACGAACACCATGGCAGAGCAGGGGAAGGGTTTCCTTCAGAATGCCGGAAACACACTGCAGGGTTTGAAAGAATCCGTTGTCAGTAAGACGCAAGCAGCTGGTGCTGATGCCAAGGCTGCTGCTCACAAAACATCTGTGGATGCCCAAAATGCAGTGAACTAGATGTACGCCATTAGTCAAAGCCTAACATTTCAAAGTAGATCAAAGTAGTGGGTGATGTGTAGATTGTGAGGGTACATTTGTACCGCACCCAAGTAGTTTTGAAGTGGCAGAATCATTTATTTTCTGAGAAATGTCGGTGTTAGGTTTGAGGGTTATAGATTTTGCGGAGATTACATTGATTGGCGGTCGTGAAATTATGAAAGCATGGCTTATTCATGCTGTACATATGAATTCTTCTGCCGAAAATTCCAATCGTTTCTCTTTTTACATGATTGGTCAAATATACGTCTTGGTCTATCTTTGTTTGTGATGTTTTATCTCACTCAATTGTTGCTTAGGATTGCCTTATTAACAAAGTCAGTTCACTGGTGTCGTGAAATTTGTTAGATAATACACATATAGTCCACTATCCCGTTGTGATAATTCTTGCAGTTTCATGATTTGATAACGTGAAGTCCACCCTTATCTGAGACAAAAAGCTGAATGAAGTTAAAAACCGTGATATTTACAAACCACTTACTCTGAACTAATAGCAGCGAAAATGTACTGTGTAAAACTATCTGTGTGAAGCAACTGTTAATTGATTACGTTGAAACACATTCTCAAGAACTTAGTGAAGTATTTTTGCAGCAAAGCAACAACATCGATGTTCATGCAGCAATATACAAATGAGTATAAGTAAATGTGCAATCACCATTAAATGAACAAGTACAAATACATGTAAATAATCTTGATTTATAATTGTCTTAATTTCAATGAACCATACAAAATAATGGAGAAGAAAGTGTGTTTGTGGAGTGACATAAAAACAAATTGCTTGATATTAAATAAGGTAAAAGAAGTTTTACAATCCTTGTAATTCTTTTAGAAGTATTAAAAACAAGATGTTGAATGATATTTGTAATAGAATTGTAAGCACAAAAAGATGTTAATAAAAATAGTCCAATTTGTCACACATTAATAGGCCTTACTAATGTAAGAAATTTTATTAAAAAGTAGGATATTGTCCTATCTAATTGCCCTTCTAATATAGAAGAATTCATTTCTAAGTGCACTATAGTTTAGGAAGGCATCAAGTAGTTATTGAGCTTTATCTATTAGGCTGCCCCTCCAATGCAACTCTAGCATGCACAAGAATTAAAGCCTATTTTCATGTCCCTTATTAATGTTGTCTATAAAAAATAAAAAAAAGTTTAATATTACTTAATATAAGACAAGTATGACTCTAGTAGGGTTTGAACAATAAGTATTTTTAAGCATATTTGTATCTGTATTTTAACAAAACAAGAATATTGAAAAAATATGAAAATTTTGTATCCAAGATCTAAACCATCTTTTTTGTTAATTAATTTTCATAATTTTTTTTTGACATTAATATTGATTTAATTTTTTTGACATTTTTATTTTTACACCTAAATTATTTATCTATATCAAAATATATGTTTTATTTAAGTAAAAATATGTTAATAAAAAATTCAAAAAAAACAAGTAAAAGCACATTAGATAGATAGATTTGAAAGGCTACTTAGATCTCAAATTCGAGTTTTAAATTATTAATAGATACAACATGTTTTTAAAAATCATTGTTGCATAGGTTATATATATACACATATTTAATATGCAAATGAATTTTCAGTAATATTTACTTTAAATATTGGTCTTATAAATATTTACTTGTATTTCATCATCAAAAAAATCGTAAATTATTTCAATTGCATTGAAATCTTCTTTATAATATTTATAAGCCTTACATACTATTTTTTTTTGTAATAAAAAAACATTGTTGGTAAATTTATTTAATAAACCTAAATAATCAATCAACATCTTATCAACAAAGTTGTTATTTTATTCAAATGTATATATTTTAAAAAATTAGTCATTTTTCTTAGAGAATCATTTAACTTTGTCTCAGTATTTAAATTTATACACCAAGCAATCAAATAGAAAATATAGCAATTGTGATGATGTGCCAATAAAAAATTATATAACTTGTAAACGTAAACAGTCAACATATAGTTTTTGAAATCAAGTTGCTTTTACAAATTTATTAGACTAACTAGGATTGTGATTAAATAAAAACTCATTAACTTATACTACAATGTAACTGATTTGATTTTTTTTGATGAGTATAATGTAAAGAATAAGTGGAAGATGATAATACTACTTGAATCTGTCAATCAATTGAGTATCCCTCACCAATTATGGATAAGCCAATTTTCCCAGATAATAGAGTAATTAGCACTTAGTATTAATGCTCATGAGCAAGATAGTAGTAGAACATTTCTTTAGTGGAAACATTAGTAAAAATGGTTTAGAGAAAAAATAGTTGAAAAATCTCACAAAATCTATCATTCTATCTATCACAAATACAGAATGTTTCAAATTTCATTTCAATCCTTTGAAACAAAAACATATTTAATTTTCTAAAAATACCTTTAGAAAACCACATAATTTATTTGCAGCCTCAATACACAAAGGATTGACTTACAATACACGTCATAAATATATATATATATATATTTTTTAAATTTAAAATAAAATAATAAAAAATAATAAAAACTATTAATAACCACTCGTTTTCTTACAATATCATTGCAATCAAACACAATCAGTTCTTTATTACATACACACACACACACACATATATATATATATATATATATATGTACACACACACACACACACACACATATATATATATATATACACACACACACACACATATAGTAAAATAGTAATTTACTAAAATAAATTGAATTATATCAGCAAAATAAAATAACTGCAACTGCATAATTGAATCACGTAAAATTTCCTTTAAAGAATCATCAAACATCCGTTTTCCAAATTACAGCTTAAAAATCACATTACAATATATTTTAACATGCAAGGAAATGAAACACTTTTGGACCCCGGAAAAGCAAGATTCGGAAAGCACTATGTGAAGTGCATTTGTTATAATACGCATTGCCACTTCAGTGTTTTTATTTCCTTATTTATTTATTTGATATTTACCAAATTGCCTTCAGAAACGGTGATTGGATTCTTTGGACATGAGCGCATCTCGTAACACGTTTCGAACCCATGACGCGCTCTGCGCAACTTCCCGCGGTCCACGTGGGCAGTACCTGCCAGCTCAGCCTCTTGGCTGTGTCGGTGTGCCAACGTGGCTCCGATAGAGATTGCGATGTCGATTGAGGACACTGCCCCCCCCGTTCTCGTAGTTCACCGCGTCGCCGAATAAGCTTCCCAAGGGCATCTTCTGCGCCGATATAGATCGCCTCTGTTGCAAGCAGGAAAGCGTTTGAATTAGTCCTCTTGGGTAGAAATCTTGCGTTTCATCGTCAGAGACTCTTCGGGATTTCGAATACCGCAGAGCTTTAGTGCGAGAGAGTGAACTTGGTAGCATTTTTCCGATCTGTGTTGTGAGCATTCTTTCCTATCGAGGTTGTGCAGGGGATATCGTAGGAGTGAAGATGAGTTCGGATGGAGCCGGAGCGATTGCATTCAAGGGCCTGGGATTGATGATGAACGCTTCCAAGCAAGGCATGGCAGCCTTGTCTGGGGGTTTGGACAAGGTGCGCAAGCAGTACGCCTCGAAGCACCAGGCCGACGTGATCGCAGAGCTTAAGAAGAAGAACGTTCCTCCCAGCGAGCTAATGTTTCAATGTGATTTCTTGGCTCCCTGACTCTTGCAATTGGCGTGCATGTGATCGTCCCGGTGGACGAGCTCGTTTTCGATGAAAATCCTGGCAATTTCTAAATTGTCATGATATGACCTAATTTGTTAGTGATTGATATTGACTGAGTTCGGGATGTGACGAGAGAGTGAATTTTTTGTTCTCAGTTCTGTTTTTACCTCATTCGATTAACTTTATCAAATCTGTTGTCGCAGCTTTGCAGAAGCTTGATTTTCTTTCTCTGGCTGGATACAAACACGAAGTCACTCTTGTGTCGCAGCAGACTGCAAAGAGGCTGGTCAGTAAGTACAATTGTGTTAAGATTTTTCAGTCGATCTTCCAGAAACCGTTTAATGGCATCGTGCTCTTCTGGCTTTTGTATTGTAGCGATTGAATTGGCTCATGGCTAACTGAGATCTGTACGTTTTCTTATCTCAGCTTGATCCTGAGAAGAGCTCAGTGCCACTAGAGATGGTCTTGGTGCTCGGAGGCTCCATGAGTGAAGAAGCCCAGAGGTTTGGTGACTTCCAGAAGAGTTCAATACTGCAAGGACTGCAAGAATACATTAACATGTCTAGGATGGGGAAGGACCACTATGACAGGGATACCATGGTGCATGAATTCTATTATGCAATATTGTTGTGCACAGAGGTGTGTTCCTCTGCCTTTTATTCGGCTTTGATAAGTGTAACTTGTTTACACGAATTCAGCAATGTTAGAGATGTATGACAAATGGAACCTCTATGAGCTTTGTAACCAATATTACGGGTTATCCATACCCTCCCTTATGGCAATCTTTTGTGCTTGGTAATGGATGCCAAGCGGGTTTTGAATGTAGAATTGGCACCAAGGATAGATTGGTAACTTGTTGGGTTGATACGCTCGCAATTTCAGGAAGTGGGAGGTGACTGGCAACGCTTTGAAGGAATTTGCAAGGAAGTTGTGCGGCGAGTGGCAACGATGAGGACTGCACCGGATGCAAATCATGAGTTGCAGTAAGTTTTTACCTATTCACAGAGGAAGTTTGTTGTCTTCAAATGTCACAAATCATGATATTTATGTTTTGCTGAACAAGCAACCTCATGGTCGATTGAGGGAGTTTTACTCTTCAGTTCATTTTTTAAATCATTTTATTTTTTCAACCACCCGTTCACTATTGTCTGCCTATCCAACCAGGAACAAGTCAGCTAAAGCCTTGTTCACTTTCGCCTCGGCTATTAAAATTGCTGCTCAACAAGAGGAGCAGAAGCGCAATAAAGCTTTGAGAGACGCCGAGGCTTTGATTCAGAAAGAGCAAGAGAAAAAATCGAGAGCATCTGCTTCGGAGCCTCTTCAGGCGCAACGGCCAGCTGTAAACCAACAGCCAACAACCAATTGATGCCGGAACGCAGCCAGCAACCCGTCTTGCATTGGTGCATGCAAGTTATCATGTTGTCTTTTCGAATGGGTCTACAAGCTCACAGAATTTCTAATTTATTCGCAATTGCATTGATCTGTAGCCCGGATGTTATGTGAGTTGTATATCAGCTTTGCTATATCATGTGCTTGATCCTTGCACTAATTTTATTGAATTTTTCAGTACTCTAAAATATTACTTTGAGCTGTGTTGGCAAAGATCTAGCTGCAATACGAGGCATGCGAAATCTACGAGTAGTTTGTTCGTTTACTTAGATGCGTTATTTAGGTCTGGTGAGTGGCATTGAAAATCTCGTGTACAAACGTACTTGTAATCAACTGTTCAAAATAGACTCTATCCGTGGTTTGTTGCATCACAGTGAATCTCGTGAAATTGAGGCATGGTCGACAATTAGCAAGCTTGTTAGCATGGATTAATCTCTAGCTCCCCTGGTTTAGGCACTTCGTGTCGAAGTCAATAAGGTAAATCGGTATATTTCTTCTAAGTTACATTAATCTTAAATATTTTGGCGATATTTTTGGAGTTCGGGGTCCTGGCTAGAGATTGATACTTCGTCATGATTAAGAATCCCTAGCATCTATTTCCCTTCGCTTAAGCAATGAATGTGTCGGCTGATTTTGTTATTTGGCTTATTATTGAAAAAAAAAATGTAAACCAAAATGAAAACCATGCTCAGGATGGCAATCTGAAAGTCAACACTCACGCAGCAAAAAGGATATGATCGAGATTCACCGACGAGATTGTTCACTTTTGGAGAGCTCATCTGTGAAATTGTGGTGGCAACCAATGCTTCTGTGGGTAAAAACGCTCCATCATGCAGAGTAGAAACCACCATGCAGCTGAATGTTGAATACCGTGTTGCCAGGTTGCACCTTCTCAGTTTCAGGGTGGAGGATTATTGATTTCGTTAATAGCTGCGGTCTTTCAATTGTTCGATTGGAATCCGCACCTGACTAATCTGCAGCAAAAGATGGCGAAAACCTGAACATGTGCACCAATTACAACCCAAATTGCGCAAAAGATTTCTCAACACAGATTGTAACTTCGTAACCTAATGTACTTCTTCCAACACAGGCTGGAAGAGTATTCGGCAGGACTACAACATTTTGGGTGTCCGTGTAGACTTATCACGACAAGCGGACCTCGAATCCTTGAAAAAGTAGAGGAAAAACTTCACATGTAGAAGCACAAATTAGGACTTGAGTGAGATATCCACCAGTGCGCCGCGCGGATTCGCTTACTAAAGTTGGCACCGCAGCGATCACACCCTTGACACAAATGAAATTGGGTGAAGTCCGATTGCCGCAGTCTTCATCCTTGCAACCGTTCAAATTCCCTTCGCAATTCCAACGTACAAATAAAAACCACCACTGAACTCTCCATCTTTCGGCCCACAACTCATGCATTTGAACGCCACGATCCGCAACGTCAAGACGCACGCCAAACGGCCGCGAACCCTTCTCATTGGCAGGATCGGAATAAATCCGAGGTGGCAGGGCGATATCGCCGAGCTGGCACATTCTCCCGCCATTTTCTAGCTGTGGCTGTGTGCTCTTCTGAAGCTCCGCTACTGTTGCGGCGAGGAGGATGTTGTTGATTTCCATTCTTAAACCTAGTTAGGGTGGTGAAGTTTCCAATGCTGTTTTTTTTCTTGAGTTATTGGGAATAGCTCGACCAGATTATTGAGTACAATCTGTTGTGGGAGATCAATGGGGATTTGATACGCGAGAGCGAAAGCATGGCAGAGGGTGAAGCTGGAGCGATGGGGGATCCAGAGCTCCAATTTCCTGCGTTTCCGTTTACGCCCTATCCTATTCAACTGCAGTTTATGAATGTGGTGTATCGCGCTCTTCAAAAGGGCGGGGTGTGCATTGTTGAAAGCCCGACAGGTTTCCACCAGTCCCTCGCGGCCTTTGACTTACTTTCTGGTTTACGTAGCGAAGCGTGTTGATTCCAGCCAATTGTGTATTATTTTGCTTGGGTTGTTTAGCTTTGTTCTAGAGCAGGAATTTGGCTGGATTGAGTGGGACTCGTTAATGCTTTTGAAATGCACGGGCTCCTGAACGCTGTCTGGAAGGAATGGGCTCTGGTTTGATACTAACTTAGGTGCTTCGTGATCACGTCCTATCTGGTGGTTCTCACTAGCTCTAATGCTTCGCAATGCTCTTAATTCTGGCTAGATAGTGCATTATGTGTTACCAATCGCAGTACTTGGTTTTGAATGATTTTTCTTTCTCAGTTTGGGTCAATTGAAGAGTTTTTGATCCCGGGTAATACAGATTGAAGAATAGGTGTAGCTAAGAAAATTTAGCTGCTGTTTGACCTTTGCTTCTTCTACAGACCCTTAGATTTTTTAATCCGTGTAGTAGAGTTTGGAGTGAGAAAGCTCATGGTCAGTAGTTTATGTTTCAGAGATGGTTGAGCACTGGAATGGTGACATGCAGGGACTGGAAAGACCTTGAGTCTGATCTGTAGTGCTCTTCAATGGCTTCAAGACGAACACACCCTTCGTCTAGCCAACCGACCCAAAGTTGACGCTCAATGTTTCAAAGAGGATGAGGAACCAGATTGGATGAGAGATTTTGAAGTCAACAAGGAGGAGCAGAAGCTCAAAGAAAAAGAAGAGAAGAAACAACAACGGAAAATACAGTTGATGAGTGCAAGTGCAAAAAAGGTGAACAGCTCGCGGTCATTTTTTGGAGATGTAGACGAAGACGTTGGAGCGAAACACCGATATGGAAATCGCAAGAAACCGGTGAAGCCAGTTGTTGGTGCCCTCGAAGATGACGAATTTCTTGTGGAGGATTACTGTAGTGATGATAATGCCAAAAGGTGATTCTATATTTGTTGCAGCCGCATATAATGCGTCCCTTTCTGCTTGCAGTGAATGTCAAATTGCCCCCTGCTTTAATAGTGTATTCGCTTTACATATTGCTTATGCATGATATTTTAACGATCTGATGTCTGGCTCTCAAGGTTTTCTCTAGCCTAAACCCTCTTGGGATCGTTACCCTCTTATGAAATAAACTTAATTTTCCGTCGTAGGTTCTTACCATATGGTAGTTGCTGATTCAGTGGAGAGTCCATGAAGCGGAAGCCAGAGAAAGATATTTCTAGTAGCAGCGAAGAAGATGTGGAGGACGACGATGAAGAGGAAGAGCCCCTGAAGGTGTTCTTTTGCAGCCGTACACATTCCCAACTGTCTCAATTTGTGGGGGAATTAAAGCGCACAAAGTTTGCAACATCCTTGCAAACTGTTTCTCTAGGATCGCGAAAGACTTTATGCATTAATCCTGGTATGCGCATACTGGTTTAAAACTCACATGCACTCACAGTTCCCTTCTAGCGAAGTTGTCAGCGAGGTCTGTGATTTCTCCCAACAATCTAACGTCGACCAACTTTGACAAAGTAATCTCGATGACTTTTGAAAGTGTTGTCCTGTCGGAAAGGTGGACTATGATCATCTCCACTTTTCTAATTCAAAAATCTTCCACCAAGCCAATTTTTTGATGTCTCAAAATATGCCTACAATACATGTTAAGCAATGCTTACCTGTAAGCAGATGTGGCGAAACTGAAAAGTTCAGAACGCATCAATGAGCGCTGCTTAGAATTGCACAAGGCCAAAAGCAGCGGCCAAGCAGGATCTAAGGTATTTCCTCAACCTCCACCGAGACTTTTTTTCTGTTGTCTCAGATGGAATCCCTACATTGTTGGCATTTCAGGATGTTCTCTCAGTAACTTTTTTCTTACATGCTTTCATTTGCTGCTTGATACTACAACCCGCTTGGTGAATGGCTTTGGGTTCAGGGTTTAGATAACGCAGTAAAATGAAATTGCTTATCTAAGAGCCCAACTAGTCATTTGGACTTAACGAACTAAGATGCTTATTATCACATCACAGCAGTTTAATTGCTCTGACGTACATTTGTTGTAAAATAATTTACAGAGTGAATATGAAGAATGTCTTGTAGGATTACACAATGACTTAATTTTTTACCATTTCAATTTTTCCATGTGTCATGATGGGACGTAAAGGACTAGAAGCTTTTCTCGCAACGTCAAATATACTATACGAGTCTAACCTATCCGGATTTCATTACCCTCGACAGGCTGTTAAAGACAATCAAATGCAGAAGAGAAAAGTGAAGAGTTCTGGCTGTCCAATGCTCAAGAAACAACGTCTTCAGCGCCAGTTCAAAGAGAAGCTAGAGCTGTCTGGTGCCATGGATGTGGAGGACCTTGTTAAATTAGGGCAAGAACTTGGAACATGTCCTTACTACGGATCCCGTCGTGCAGTACCGGCAGCTGATGTAGTTGTTCTTCCGTATCAATCATTGTTGCACAGTGCAACTCGTGAAACTCTTGGAGTGAAGCTCAAGGATTGTGTAATCATCATCGACGAGGCACACAATCTCGTTGATACTGTTAGCAATATTTACAGCTGTCAGGTCTCCGTTACGCAAGTGGGTACTGCCGCTACTCATGTTAATATTTTCGTCAATTTTAATGTTAACTTAACTCTTGAACGCTGAGGCATTGCTTTCCGGTGTATTTTGTATCCAACCTCAACACTGCGTGCGTTGAGGCTTTCAGGGATTAAGATGCACATCTCAAACTGCAACACTTATATGCTTTGTGTTTCGAATGTGCGCAGTTAAAACAAGTAAGCTCACAGCTTTCAGAGTATCTTGAAAAATTTAAGAACCGTTTGGCTGAGTCGAACCGGCGGTACATTGAGACTCTGCTTCTGCTCATTAAGGCCTTATTAGATTGTCTTGCCGTGCCTCAACAAGGCGGATCCAAGGAACGTCAAAATGGTCGAACGGATTCTAAAATGCTCACCATTAATGATTTCGTATTCTCTCTGAAGATTGACAGCATTAATCTACTTAAACTGCGTCATTACATCAAGGAGAGCAACATAGTGCACAAGGTCTCTGTCGGTTGCACTACTACCTTCTCTTTGCTCATTTCTGCATTTTTTTTAATGATGTGGTGGTCTTCATCATTTGTAACACTGAATTCACGTAAAGCTATCAACAGTACTTCAAAGCGCTTCTAGATTATTTTTGGAACCCACTTACCAGCATACTGAGCGTCTGAAGTTGTTCTATTTTATGCAAAGCTGATAAAATTAGTTCAATGCCAAGACTGATATAACGTTGTCAATATCATCTGCTTCTTTTTATTTGTAGTCGATCCCCCCTGCCTCCTAGCTTAGTTAAGCTAATACTTCGAAACATTCTCCGTTATAGGTGAGCAGCTACGGTGAGAAACTCACTCTGGAACAAACGGTATCAACTTCGCAGTCAAGAAGTGGTGTTCCAAAAGGGTCAGTTCCTCAAAGCAATAATGCCTTAACTGGCTTCCATGCTTTGGCAGATTTCGTGCTTGCCCTCACAAATGCCGACAAGGACGGCCGTGTGCTCGTTGTGCCCAGCGTTGGAAAAGGCCTAGAGTTGTGGGATGGACATCTTAAGTTTATCATGCTGAATGCCACGAAACACTTCACTGAGGTAAGTGGTGTGAACGGATGTTGACGTGTATGTACAATAGCATCAATCTTAGAACGTCATTCAATAGAATTAGATGTTGATAATCTGCTGCTTACATGACCTTATCTGTGGATTGCACGTAATCACTGATCATAATCCACCTCTTCAAGTGTGGTTTTAGCGTTTTAGATTGTGTATGTTGCGGTTGCTTTTATGTTCATCTCCATATAGTATGAATAAAAGTCCCTTCCTATTACGATTGTGTAGCTTACGGGCAATTTCAGTATGAGCTCTATCTAAGCGAACAGTTCTCCTATCTAATAAGCACTACTGAAGTCATGGATATCGACTGGAAGAACATTTATTTCAGTTACAGCACTTGGTTATGCGTGCCTTCCAGATCGTTGAGGAAGCCAGAACTGTAATATTAGCAGGAGGAACTCTACAACCTATTTCTGAGCTCCGCGATCGGCTCTTTCCCCAATTGCCACATGAGAAGGTATATTCCTAGACGAATCCCAATTCCTTTGGCTGGATGCTTTAGGAATTATCTATATTGCATCCCTCTGTCCTTGCACTTTGTCAACCGAATAATGACTCCAACGATTGTTTCGTCTAGGGCTCGGAATTCTTTTCTTAACCCACAGCACTTTGCAACTGTGGGGATCACAGGTTCACCTATTTTCATGTGGCCACATCGTACCTCGCGAAAGTATTCTGCCGATTGCTATTGCAAAAGGACCGGGGGGTCATACATTTGACTTCACGTACCAGTCTCGTAGTTGCCAGACCACGGTATAATTTAATTTATTCGCCTGCATGCCTTCTGCCATGTATAGAAGCTGACTTATTTGGAGTTGAAATGTTTACATTGGTTTTAAAAGAACATCTGTAAAGCCCATGAAAGCTTTGTCATTAGACCAGATTTTCAGAACTGGCTATCACGAGTTAGTATGTAACCCAATACATTTCTGCTCACCTCACAGATTGCCGACGCTAGAGTATTAGTTTGTTGTAAACAACACTCCTTTACTAATAGCTTTCCTCCTCTGGTCAGATAGAGGAGTTGGGACGCTTGATCAACAACGTTTCATCCATAGTCCCAGAGGGTATTGTAGTTTTTTTCCCATCTTTCGAGTACGAGAGTCAGGTACATGCAACCTGGACAGATAAAGGCATACTGGCTTCCATCCAGATGAAAAAACACGTGTATCGAGAGCCTCGGAGTGCTTCTGAAGTTGAAGACGTTTTACAAAAGTACAGAAACAGCATTACCAAGACCTCAGATAAAGCCGACATAACCACAGAGAATCGAAGGGGAGCCTTGCTTTTATGTGTCGTAGGAGGGAAGATGTCCGAAGGCATCAACTTTAGTGATGGGATGGGTCGTTGCGTTGTGATGGTTGGTCTACCATATCCCAATCCATCTGATCCGGAGCTTATTGAAAGGATAAGGTATATTGAGCAGCTTTCAGCAGCCGAGGCTGGTGTGGGAAACGACGGGGCTGCTTTGAACGGCAATAATGTACTGCAACGATGTGGGCAACGAGGAAGAGAATACTACGAAAATCTTTGTATGAAAGCTGTTAATCAGTCCATAGGTAATCTCACACTAACCAACTTTTGTTCATCGCATTCTAGGGCTTAGATATTCTAATCTTACTTTTCCATATGCTGAATGATTTAGATGGGAATCTGTTCTGAAGTATAAGAAGCTTGTTGTTAGCTTCAGCTTTTCCTGTACTTTTTGGAATTTTCTTTCTGCGGATGATGTGCAGTATCGCAGATTATGTTTTCCTGGCTGAGCTCAAACAACACAATGATGAAGAACACAGAACACATTTCATCAACTATTTTGTGAAGCTGGCGCAATTTTCAACTTATGTTGTTTGGCTACCTTATTTTGTTGTTGTGCAGGGAGGGCGATCAGGCATATCGGAGATTATGCAGCAATTTTGCTTGTTGATGTACGTTATACATCGACATCTGGACCTCCAGGACCTAACGCCAAACCATCGGGACCAGCTTCCAAGCTGCCAGATTGGATCTTGGAAAGACTAGTCCCTGTAACATCAAGTTTCGGAGAAGTTATTAAGCTACTGCACAAGTTCTTTAAGCATAATCAACAGCGGACTCAAGGAAATTAAACTTCACATGGCCGCTCGTTGCACAGATACTCGCACAAAATGCACATGCTCAGAACTTTTCCTGAGAACAGATGGATACACAAATTGTTTAAATTCCCAAGCGGTTCAGGTTTCTTCACCCCGAAACTGGTGTATGGACTATCCAGCTTCTCATCATCCAAGCAGGGATTAATTTGCTTCCCCTTTCTTTTTGAGCTTTCGTCAAAAGTGTTGCATACACAACTTGAAAATTGACTCAGAATCATTCTACGTACTGATTTGTATGTTTCTGACCATTCTGATGAGTGACTGATTCTGCCTGGTTAACATCCTGTAGCCTTAATACAGCCAAGGCCGAACTGTGGGTCAGTAGTAAACTGGCGAATCTATAGGGAATAGAATCTCTCTTTTCCATCGAAGGGTTCTTTTTAGCTGAGTTGGAAACCACAAAGCCTACAATATAATATAGTTGCTGTTTGATACATTGCTGTCCTTGTCTGTTTGTCAGCTTAAATAGTGGGCCCAATGCCTGTCTTTATATGACAGGTTCAGATCTGGGGCTCATTTAGATATGTCATATCTGACAGTGGCCATCAAATTCAGATATAGCTAGCTTTGACGGTGGCCTCAATAACTATGTAGGTGGACATCAAAACATATATTTTTACCACGTTTGTCTTTATTCATTCTTTTCTAACGAACCATTTTTTTCAACAGTTACAGAAAACAATGACATATATAAATATATATATATATATATATGCAAAATAAAATAAAGAAAAATAGAATAAAACAATCTTCGTTGGCACCTAATAGTTTTCTATTTTCCATACTGAGCAACTGTACTGAAACCTATATAATTTGCTGTGAGGGTTGCTTCTTTATTTCTAAACGACCAATGCACCGCTCTGTGATGCAATCGTTTTCTTGTTGGTATTTTTTTCAAGTTCCAGAAATCGTTAGAACTTATTTCTCGTGATTATCAAATGTTTCATGATAATTTTCACGGTTACTACAAAGTTGTTTTTAGCTGTTTGCATCAACTTGTGTGAGAAATTAGTATGAACTTGTTTATAAGTTTTTAACCTTGCATTCTCATAAGTGCACACCTGGAAGTCTATACTTGACCAATTAGATTACATGTACTTTCAAAAATACCATTAAAATTGGTAGTGCCGATTCTCACTTACAACAACTCGTCAAATCATACTCAAAACATCGCTCTGGCTTCATTTTACCTATTAACATCTAAATTCAACTTTATGTTTTCAAAAATAACACCACGTCATGAATGAACAAGCAGGATCACAGGCGGCTTTGAAGCTTCCACAAGGAGGGAGGGAATCCAGGGAGCCAGCACCTCCGAAACAAGGGCCAAGTAGCAACAACTACATCATCAGCCCTCACACTACGTACATCGACGACCTCCGGGAATGTACCATCCCCGCATACTCTCTCCCTCCCAACCTCCGTTCAATGCAGCCTCCGGTTCAAAGTCGTGCATCCGCCGCCCTGCGCCTGCGCACACATAGAGATGGAAGCTCTCTATCGCTGCTCTCACCCTCTCTCTCTCTCTCGCACTATTCCGCACAGCATCATTTTCCCAGCCTTGGCCGGCCCCGCCAGGAGCAGACTCGGTGACCACAATAACTCGTGACCAGGACCACTGTCACCCTCCGGAAGCACAGCAGGGAGTCTGAACACGGAGGGCACATGAGTAGAAAGAGTCGTGGAGATGGCTCTGCGGCTCCGCAACGTTGCTTTTGTCGCCATAGCCAAATGCTCTGGTGGTCTGGAACAACTCGGTCTTGTGCTCAGGAAGAGACGAATCCATCCGACGTCCTCCGGAACATTCCTTACCACGGTCTAGAAGATTCCATGCCCAACACGGTCTTCCATCCCCGTGCTTCAAAGCTAAAGCCAACTTGTGTCTGCTTTTACTTTTTTTCCCCATGTGCCATTTATGGTACCGAGGTGCTGGATGCCACGTCATCACACGTTCAAATGCGTGTGTGCGCCGAGGTGGCATTTGGTGGGGCCAAACTTGCAACCACGTGGGCACACAAGCTACGTGACCTGGCACAAGGCAGGGCTCGCCTGCCCTGTCAGCAATGACATGGCATGGGCTGAAGCTGGCAACAAGTTTCTGTTGGGTCTGACCAATTGGGACCTGGAATTCTATTTGGTCGATACTGGGAAATAAACAAACAAATGCACTCAACAGTACTGCCTGTACGTTCTTAGTAAAGTTGTGTCTAAAGGAGAAAAATATTTTTAAAAATGGTGGTGTTGTTAAGCGTGCGGTATTGAAATTTTGATTTATTGTGTTAATGAAAAGTAATTTCCACAGTTATACACTACAATGAATGGCACAGAATAGACTCAAAATTTTAAGATACGCTGCTTACGAAGATTGGAAAAGGATAAAAATATTTGCTTCCGTGGTCATGCAAACATATCACATGATCAGCAATCATATTAATTCATGAACGTGTCAAAATTTTATTAATTAAGTCAAAAACCAATACAAAGTAGACACACTCAAAAGTTATAGCATTTAAGAAAACGAAAAACTCAACGAAAAATCTTGGAACTTTATGAAAAAGAGACAAAAGAATTGCTCCTTTTGCGTGGCCAACAAATTAGCCTGATTGATCTCAACGCATCTGGTTCTTAGTTGCGTGCATTATGAAAATAGAATCGTCGTTAATTAAAGTACAACGTGTTCACACACACATATGAACAACGGTTAGCTTTTTCGGTCCCAACCAAAAGAGAAGAAAGATGAAATCTTTATAAGAAAAAACACAAGTTCCTGTGAGTTTTTATAGATGGAATGCGTGATCATGGGATGAATTAACATCTCACTATGAAACACAACATGAAGAATCATTGCCTGGCCTTTCAGTAGTTAAGTAACTAATGAAGAGTCCGAAGTCGTCAGAATACAGAAACTCCATCGGTTTGATAGAATACATTATAAAATCTCCATCTCTTCGTTATATTTGTCGTTCGCTCATAGCACTGATATTTTTGTCGCATTTCTACGTGCTATTTTGATGAAGAGAAGAATAAACAATATTTGTTCGACAGTGTCGAGAAAATTGAGACGACGGGGAACGCATGGGAACGTGAACATTCATTCTCCCCAAACTGGTTCCCAATCCCCAGTGGGGCTGGTGCCGCGTTAATACGGAGGAGAAGCGGACGCGTGCTCAACTAATTATAGTAAATAGCATAAGTTCTCCTGGGGGCCGAACGAGGATTCCGTTCCCCTCCAGCTCCCCTCCGGCTCCCTTGCTGTCGGCGTTCTAATCTCGGCCCACCCTACGTCCCCGGCGCGGGTGGACGAGGCATCCACCCCCTCGCCCGCCCGGGCACCCTGCCCGAGAGACGGGGCTAAAGGAAGCACGGCGGCCACGGGGAGGGGGTTAGGTGACGTTGGGGGCGGGGTGCTACTGCTCTTCCTGCTCCTCCTCGTCGTAGTAAGTAGTTGGTTTCGGGCGGAGCTTTAGCTTTGGCTTGGCCAGTGCCCTGAATCCACCGAGCTCATGTGCATGGCAGCAGGCTCGCACGGTGTCCGTCATCCCCCGTGCTCTGGTCGACGTCCCCTGATGCCCTCATTCTACTACGTCTCCCGCCTCTGTCCATGTCGTTGTAGCCACTTCGGTATTCGCGTTTGTTCGTGTCCCCTGCAATTTCGACGCGCAGCTGTAGAGCTTGGCATCTGTCGGACGACTTCTTGTCAGAAGTCACGAGTTTGAGGTTTGAGACCTGCGTTTTGGGTTTTTGGTGAGCATTGTGGGTGGGTTCGGAGGTTTTGTTGTCGGGAGATTCGGGTTTTTCTAGCAGCTGGATGCGGATGCGGATGCGGGTGCGAGGGCAGTTTGTGTAGGTAACGGAGATTCTAGTTTGGAAGTTTTGGGGCAGATTGAGCGGAATTTTGATATTTGAGGGGCGGTAGAAGGCGACGAGCGGAGTGCAGGGAAAACGTTTTTTTGTGGTGTTGGAGGATAAGATTTGGTTCGCAGGTGGGTGGGTTAGAAGGGAATGGCTAGTGCTGCGCGCTCATCTAGTTGGGTATGTGAGAGTGAAGAGGTTTATGTGGGTTGAGGCAAGCTTCTCTTAGTGGACAATGATGAGTATGATGGTGTGGTGAGGTTCGAGAGGTGCAGGGGATTGGAGAGGGTGAATCAAGTGGACGCAGGGGCGTAGGCCTTGGTGAGTGGCGCGAGATGGGAGGTTTTTGTTCGAAGACTCCAGTTGTTGAGGATCGGAAGAAAGCTCCCCACAGAAAAGACGTCAATGGTAGAGAGAAAGAGGGCGCAAATGGGAACGGAGAAAGACACCCGCCAGCGAAAAAAATAGATCCCGCGAAGAGGCCAGTTCCCGAGCGCAAGCAATCTAGGATCCCAGCTGAGCATCTGAAGAATAACCAAAGTCATTCACAACCTCTCGGGAAGCGAACAAACTTTGGCTATGAGAGAGATTTCAAGGAGAAGTATACGCTTGGGAAGCTCCTTGGTCATGGCCAGTTCGGCTACACTTATGTTGCGATTGAAAAGAGCACTGGCAACAAGGTTGCTGCTAAGTGTATAGAGAAAAAACAGGTACAAGAATCGTTGCACTGCTTGGTTCTGGTTTCTGGTAATCACGGACTGGGATTCGTTGTGCTCATTTTCAGTTTTCGTCTCTTTCGATTGACCATGAATTAGACTCATTCGTCGTCGGGTAATGTATGTGCAAGTGAGCTGACGATATAATTTTTAATATCATATCCTAAGAGAAATTGTGCAAGCTGGTAGTCTGTATTCCTCGTGCACCCATTGATGTTCTTTCTGTTTTCTAGAGTAAAGAAAGAAATAGACAAGAATCGAGGATTTTTATTGCAAGTTCTTACTGGTATTATATTTTTTGTGTTAATACAGATGACCCTTCCAATCTCTGTGGAAGATGTGAAGCGGGAAGTGAAGATCTTACGGACTTTATCCGGACATGAGAATGTTGTACAATTCTACGCTGCCTTTGAAGACGACGATTTAGTCTACATTGTAATGGAGTAAGTAACCGGTATCGCTATTCCAAATGCCCTATGTGAAGTAGTGGGGGTGTGAGGTAATCGATACGTGTTCTCAGAATTACTATGGAAATTATCGTGAAGCTTCAAAGCATTCAGTAACCTGTGGGGAATTGCAATGTTCGGCATTCTAGTTTCCCGATTAAGATTGACCAGTATTCATGACGAAGTGCCTGCCTTCGATTTCTCTCTTTGCTGCACTTTCCCATGCATTGTCTTAGCAGATGAGCGTTCTTACCTACTATCTGGCTAATTCTGGATTAGCTGTGTCTGCCTGCTAAAAACGATGTACTTGAAGTCCTTGAGGTGTTATTCAAGACGGAATTTCTGAGTTAATTTACCTGGGCAGATTGTGCGAAGGTGGAGAGCTTCTTGATCGAATCCTTGCCAAGTAAGTTCTAACTAAATCGAATAGCATTAAGTGTGCAGTATTTTATTGCAAATTAAAGGATGCAAGGGATTTTCAAGCTATTGGTAACTGAAAAATTACAAGGAAAATTGAGAAATCAGATATTCATGTGTCTAGTATGTACTCATATTGGTTTATGCTCTCGAGCACAAATGTTCCAGTCACAGTTGGGGTTATCGTCTTTATTTTGCATTTTATTAGTTCGCTGTGCTCCAGAATATTTGTCATGAATTTTGTTACACTCCGTTTTTGGCAATTGTCCTAAAGTCACTACATTGAAATTTCCCTTCAAGCAGGAAGGACAGCCGTTATTCTGAAAAGGATGCTGCCAAAATAGTGAGACAGATGCTCAATGTTGCTGCGCGATGTCATCTGAATGGTGTTGTCCATCGCGATATGAAACCAGAGGTATCTGATTTGCTGAGGAACTTCACTTATTTGCAACATTTGCACATAGATGAGTGATTTGGTGTCGTAATTTGTTTTGATTTGATGGTGACTCTCAATCCCATTTGACCTCCAACGTTTTCTGACGGTATTAAGTAATCGTTCTGATGAATGCGGCGATGCAGAATTTCTTATTTAAGTCCCCGAAAGAAGACTCGCCACTGAAGGCAACTGATTTTGGACTGTCTGATTACATCAAGCCAGGTATGCACGTTGAGTTAGTTGATAAAGCTCTGAACCTGAATGTTGTCTAACTCAATATCACTAACTCTTTTACTGAGTACATTGCGAATTTTACTCAAGCTGATTTTTAAGGAGAAATTTACTTATTTAAGTGTCGGTAATTTTTCGTTGTGATCAGAAACGTGTCGAACCTCCAAAGTTTTAATTTCAGATGGTTCTGACTCTCCCTTCTGACTCTGTCATGACGCCAGGGAAACGGTTTGGTGATGTGGTGGGAAGCGCTTATTATGTGGCACCAGAGGTTTTGAACCGGAAATCTGGTCCTGAATCAGATGTGTGGAGCATCGGAGTCATCACTTATATTTTGTTGTGTGGAAGACGTCCATTCTGGGATAAAACAGAAGCTGGGATATTCAACGAGGTAACCACAGAAGGTGGTTTTTTAGATTGGTGTAGACAGTACCTTGTGGATACGGGATTATCGATTGCAACCTATTCAGTTTATCCCTACGTCATCGTGTGTAGTCTGAGTATAATTTCACTTGTATTAGATGCTACAGACCGTTTGCGTGTTTTCCCTTTTGAACATTTCTAAGAATTCCAGTTTCTTATTTCTTGACTTGGGATGTGAGCAGGTTTTGAAGAAGAAACCAGATTTCCGCGAAAAACCATGGCCATCAATTACTGCTAGCGCTCAGGACTTTGTTAAGAAGCTGTTGGTGAAGGATCCGCATATGAGGCTAACTGCCGCTCAAGCCCTGTGTACGCCACATTCATTTTGCCATGCTGACTTGTGCTCTACATCCAACCGTTGATATGGTTTATGCACGAACATTGTTAACTTGCCTCCGTAACACTCAGTGTAACACAAGTGGCTAATTGAGAGCTCTATTTGTGGTTACAGCTCATCCATGGGTAAAGGAAGGAGGTGATGCTTCCGACATGCCTCTAGATATTTCAGTACTTTCAAATATGCGTGAGTTTGTGAAATATTCACGTCTGAAGCAGTTGGCTCTAAGGGTAAGTGATTCCACCCTTTTGAATATGGCGTCGTACTTTCAATGCAAGTTGTTTCTTCTTTAAGAATGCCTACCTGGTGTCTGAGCTTAAATAATTCTTTTGCTCTCTTGACAGGTATCATCAAGAGTACTGTTGACCCTTTTATGTCTCTTTTCATCGTATTCACATTTGTGTTCTGATTCGCAGGCACTTGCCAGTACCTTGGAGCCAGAAGAAATTCGAGATTTGCGTGATCAATTTGATGCCATGGATGTGGATAGGAACGGCACCATCACCCTAGAAGAAATCAGACATGTATGCTCCCTTTTTGTTGTTTTTGTTTGTTTTTTTGTTTGTTTGTTTGTTTGTTGATGTTTATGTTTTTTTGTTTTTTTTGTTTTGTTTTGTTTTTTTTTTTTTTTCCCCCGTAAATACTATTCAAGTCAATGCACTCCTGCGTTTATGTGGTTTCGGTTGGAAAACCTACACCCAGCTGTATTCGTAAATGCTGAGTTTCCTTCATATTGATTTTTCACTCGTGGGCTTGTGATCAGGCTCTTCAAAAGGACAGGCCTTGGGCAGTGAAGGAGTCCCGAGTGCTGGAGATCCTCCAAGCGGTAAGAGCGCTGGTGCAACCGTTTTTTATGCTTTTAACTGTTCTTACATATTATCAAGCGGGAGATTTCAGCATACAGTAGCCAAAGTCTTGGACTTCATCATAAGACTACGTTTCATAGTGGATTGACGCTGAATCTACAGATGGATAGCAATGCGGATGGTATTGTGGACTTCGATGAGTTTGTTGCAGCAACTCTGCATGTTCATCAACTGGAGCAGTCTAATACTACAAAATGGCAGCACCGATCTAAAGCCGCTTTTTCCAAGTTTGACGTAGACGGCGACGGATACATCACAGCCGAAGAACTTAAGATCGTAAGTGCACACCTTTGATTTTTTTCCTCTCGTTGCTGTGCCGAATCATTCCTGATCTCCGAACATGTACACACGTTTACCTCTCTCATACTGTCTACCCCCTGGGAAATATGCAGGCTACAGGGATCAAAGGATCAGTAGAGACGTTATTAGAAGAAGCCGATGTGGATGGAGATAAGCGCATTAGTCTTCCTGAGTTTCAGAAATTGCTGCATCAAGCCAGCTTTGGATCTCGGACCAATACTGACCACAACCGGCATCGCACGTAACCGTCTGCAATAGGGATACTAATCACCAATGTGAAGCAATAGACCCGGGCTTGAGTTACTAATTTTTTTTCATCACAAATGGAACTGGGGATGAAGGCGATGTGTCCCTTCTCCACAACAGAATGTTTAAAATGTTTGAGAGAAGCGCATTGTGATGGTCTTTCCACCGCCTTCCTAGTGGATTAGGCAAGAAGATGTGGTCAGAGATTTTAATTATTCGCATGAAGCTAATAAGTCTAATCCACTAGAAGCAAGCTTCAGCTTGTTGTGTATAAGGCATGCACTTGTATGATAGGCGAAAGCCACCTATTTGTATCCCAACATAAGTGGAAGTTGCTCAGGGATTTGTCTGGGTATATTTTTAAGGATTTCAATATAGTTCCATTACTTCTTTGTAAAAGCAATGTAACGTGCCACTGTATTCCAAAACCGTCGAGATGTTTTTATAGAACCTCACTCGCAAGTTGCAACATAGAGAAATGTGCTTTTTAGTGTCAGAGTATATTTCAGACCTTGGTTTCCGGTATTCAAGGCTTAAAATAATGGGTGCAAGAGTGTGGCAGGGTGTCGAATCGGCCCGTTTTTGTAGAGTTTTCCAAAACAGAACCATTTTGGTGTTACCCTGACCTCCACAATTTACGATTGGCGTTGTGCAAGGACTTTCTGATTGGCCCTTGCGTACCGATGTCGTGTGTGGGTAGGTTGTGTAACGATTAATTTCTAATTCCAATACTACCTAGCAGCGAAGTACTATTCAGGTGAATTTGATGTGGATCTGATCCTGAGTTGATGAGGATGTACCCCAAATAGTCCGTGAACTTTCTTCCAATCATTACCATGGAGATTTATTTCATACAACTTCGGTAAGTTGCAGTGGCTACCTCGATCACCTCCCCAAATAATGAGACGGGAAATCCTCTTCCTGCATGTGCCGTTCTGATGATCTCTCTTGAGTTGCACAGGATGCTGCAACTTCTCGATAGAAATCGAACGTCATTGACCGTTGATCAATGTACGGGGAGAACACACAGTTGGCGTAGAATCGATCTAGTCAATATATCTAGTTTTATAATGCAAAGTTTAACATGCGGGCTAAAGCTTTCCAAAATACCCTGTATGCAGTAAAATGAGAGGCTATAACCGAGGCAAAGTAGCATGCTGCCGTTTGAATTTGAAAAGCACAGTATCTTGGCTCATTCAACTACAATCTTCCTTTCCCCTGCGTCATTCTTCCAACGAAGGAAACTATATGGTAAATCATGGATGATCATTTATAAACTTCTTAGTAGTTCCTCAGAACGGTCCTTCAGATGGGTGTGTGCGCTTTCCTGTGCAGTAAGTCTCGAGAAAATGCACAGGATCTGTGACATCGAGCAACCGCACGAGAGAGTCTCATTATACAGTGTAAACTGCTTGCGACAGCAAACTCGAAGAATTGTGATCTTTGACGAGGAAAGTGATAAAAAAATTCTCTACTAAAGTCAGTTCGAGAAGCGGGTGACCGAGCTGCAGGCAACACTGTCACAACCGGAATATTCGAACATCTTTGGACGCATTTGCATTGCAGCCTGTTGTATAGAGCCAAGGGCAGGCCTGCAGGAATCACGAGAACAAGTGTGTCAGAATACATAACAGCTCTTGTTCTCGTTCAGAGCCATGGAAGGTTCTACTTAATCATGGCTGGAAGGAATACGGTTGCAACGACAGAATAGTACCAGCAATGGGTGGAAACTGTCCTGACTTTGGGTCTGAACGGATTAATGGAAACTGGAGATGTCGACTACAGCACAAATGTGATCAATGCAAGTTGTCTAGAAGAGCTTTTAAGGTGCCCCAAAATCATGGAGCGGCATCTCAAATTGACGCATATGCCGAAAACTTCGACTTTAACAGGGCGTGCAAGGTGTATTTCGAAAAGATTGGTCCATATCATGGTGTATGCTAGATCCGCCAGGAACTACTACCACTTCGTCAAGTTGATAGGGTGCGCTGCCATATCATTCTCGAATGAGCCTTCCATATGCACCCTAACGTCGCCATTGCTGAAGAAGAAGCACTCGACCAGAAGAAGATTTTACACCAGGTATCGAAATCCACCGATGCTGCGGTCTGTAGACGCACGCAGCAGTGGTCATAGTACAATAAAACGAGTTTCTCATTCCAGAAAATTCGATCAACTTCATGCACTGAATTCTAGAGCCAGAACGGCCTGCTCGCAACCCAGAGATGCCACTTCCACAGCCGTTCCAAAGCATGCTGGGAGCTCTTCAGGTCGTCAGTGGCCAACATCCGATAGCAGCTCCTGCAGCAGCATCTGAAACATCCGAGACGCTGTGGACTCACACATTGGCACCAAACTGGGGTTGCTCAGGTTCTAGTCTCGTCGCTACATGACCAACTTGAGAAATCTTACACCTATCCTGAGCAGCCAGTGATGGAGGAGATCCCAAGGACACTACCACACCCATGCAGTGGTTACAAGCACAATCAGGTTTCCACGCTGGTCTACGGCACCCAACTCAGCTCTGAGAGCCAGACTCACGCAGGTTTGGCTATGAAATTGCTGAGCTGTGCAGGCTACCGAGGAGATTAGAGTGCATGACTCGGCGGAATTGTGTGAATGCGAGGAAGAGCTGTCAGCAAGAGCATTGAGAAATGGAGTCGGTGAGCATGCCGAAGAAACTCGATGCTGAACCAGCCGCTTCATTGCCTTCTTCCTTCCTATCCATGTGGTTGGCTTTCACCAGTCAGAAAAGCTGGCTTATAGTTGGTTACAAACCCTAAATGAATGTTAAACTTTGTGAATGAACGGTTGATTGGTTGGTTTTGTTTACAAGGAACTGAGATTGCCTTTAAGATGATGATGTTTGTCCAGTATTTAAGGGTCTTTAATGGCATCTGCTCTCAAAGCCATTATTTATTCTGAAAGTTACATATATATATATATATATATATATATAATGTTGAATTTCAATGTAATATGCATATTATTGGGCAATAGTAGTTTATGTAATAATAGTGTAAATTATTGATCAATAATAGAAGAAGCAAAGAAGGATAACCCCCATAGCAATGCAATCTAATTTGTATAAGTTGCCATAGTATTGATGATGTTAAAAAAATACTTTTTATAATTGGAATCCTTAAGCTCTTAATGTTTCTCCTCAATTTTATTTATTTTATTTATTGTTGTGCAATCGTTAATACTATTACAATCATACACTTGTTTTTAACCCTTTTGTTTTGTTTTGTTTATTTATTTATTTATTTATTTATTTTACAAGCTCGATCTTCACACAAATGCTTTTCTTTCCAATTAAATGCAATTATTATTTTTTTGCAACCTTCATGTACAAAGGTCAATCTCTATGCAATTCTATTATACACCCGGTCTCTATTTTTTGTTTATTATTTTTTAGTATAATTGATAAATTATTGTTTTTATTTTATGTCATTATCTTTTTGTTGATTTTAATTATTTTTTTTAGCACTTTCAATGCGTAAAAATGCTCATTACAAGCAATCTGATATAGTTTCTCATACCATTGTAACATATTCTAAATTACAAAATATAAAAATATTAATAATTTAATGTTTTTCTTTTTTTTCTTTTTTTCTTTTCATAAGCTTTTCAATATGATCACAAGCAATTATCACATCACAAATCATTTAATGAATCACTAAACTATTTTATTTATTAAATTTTTACACTAGACTTATTTAATAGTAACAATGTTTCGTACAAGAATATCATTTAACACTAATTTAAATTGCTGCTTATTTTTTCTTTCTTTCTTTCTTTCTTTCTTTCTTTCTTTTCTTTTCTTCTTTTTTTTTTTATTTTTTTTTTAAAATCTAATATCAGTAACCAAATCTCAAATCAAAATTTTGTTTCAAAAATCTCCTTCAAAATATCAATGATTCAGTAGTTGGTAACGAATTAAAGAAGAGATTAAATAAAAAAATTAAATAAATCTGAATCCACTGTAATTATTTAATAATACCTAAGTGGCAATGTAAATGTTGATGTGTATGCAAAATCTATTACTTCAAATGCAGCAATAATAACCAATTTTACAATTTGTTGTTCTTATTGATTATACAATTGTTTGTTTTATTATCCAAAATAAGCTTTGGAAGTATAAAGACAATTATATTGATTCCAGTAGGTTAATCCCTTATATATATATATATATATATCTATACTAGTGGAAACCTGTGCCATTAGTCATGAAAAATATGCGAAAAATTAGTTAATTTTGTTCGCCTTGCCCGAATGTATCCTTGCGATTCATCATGTGGGTTGCGACTCATGATTTGCACGTCAGTCTGATCCCTTGGTCCTATTGTCTGATCTCTATTTGTTGCAATGTGCAAGCGTGGATGTGTTGATGAGAAATTGTCGCCCTTGTCCTACTCGGACGCGTAATGCGTTTGCTGAGGATTGACTATTTATTAGTCTAATTCCTACACTACCCTGGAAATGGTGCTCACTCAATGAACCGTAGAACGGTGGTTCTCCTTTAGCATCGAGCCACTGTCATTCATGTAGCTGACATTTCTAGAAGATTGAAAGCCGGCTGCCTTGATCTGAATGTAGACTTCACATCTGTCACTGTCAAGGGTTGGAGATTAACCTCCTCACATTGACTCCTCCAAAATTGTGCAAAATTGTGCAAAATTGACGCTGGTGCTTGGCCCCCAGAATGTGACTTGTTGTTGATAGTTCATGTACGGGGGTGATCACTACATTTCACTCCCACAATGCTCTTCGTTTGTATTTCCGTTCATGCGTGATTCTGAAGTTTCCGTAAATTGGCTAGGATTTGTCCTGAAAGTGTGACTAGTTGAAATTAGAGTCTCCCATTGATACTACATTTCGACTACTCTCTCAGTGATCAAAAACGATCAACTCTTGGAAACAACGGAGAGAATGTTGCATCTTCAGTCGCTCCCACGTATCCCTCACAAGTACCGCAAAATGTTAGGGCAAACACTTGTTAAAGACCAACTGCTATCGACATTATATTAGAGTAATTAAAAAGCTCCCTTCGAACTAAGTACTAGTAAGGCAGAACTTGCAAAATTTTCTTAAGCATACCAAATGAACGTGTAGAGCATATTTGTAGGCAAAGTTCGATTCAACTATTCAAAAGAAGATAGAAACACTTGATTACTGAACGCGCAATTCGGGAGGCTTAGTTCAAATTCTGGAGCACCTGTGAACAAAGGATCTCCTTGTCCGTTCCTATCTCTCAGAGCGCAATATTAGATCTGGTCATCACAAGTACTGATCATAACCCAGTACGATAAAACCTGAGCTGAACATTAACAAAATACATTAAATGATGTAACATCTATTGAGAAAGGACTAGTAGAACTCATCAGATAACCAATCGGTTAAATGGAAGGCTCCGTAAGCGACATATAATTTTATTAAAAACAGTGACCGTAAACTCCTGCCAGATAGGATGAACATGTTCTCAATCGAAAGGGTTAAGATATAGCCAATTACCGTAAGTTTTGAGTAGTTTTGCTCGAGAATACAGTGGTCCTTGTGACGTTCTCGCATTACTAAATCCAGCAAAAATCAATATAAGTGTTGTGATCATACAGTATCCCTTCTCTGCTGCTCCCATACACTCAATCCTCTCAGGCAACAGTCTCAAGCCACAATAACCTACCCCAACTCAGTGATATTCATGCAAAAGCACAAGGTAATGAGCAATTTAGACCGGTTGTTATAACAATTTCAAACAAAACATAGAATGCATCTAATGTTGATGCAACATCCCAAAACAACATGTAACGGTTAATATTTTAGTTAATTAAAATTTTGGTTCACTTTTGATGACAGCTTTTTGATGAAAACAATGAGGCATGCTTGTATTTGTCCCCCATGAGCTGTTGTATATCATATATATATATATATATATATATACACTAAATTGACCCATCTAGTGAAGAAATCTAGAAATGTGTTTCCAATTTAATTTTTTGGTGGGCGTACTTTGAGAATTTGCAACAAAGGAGGCGCTCAAAAGATGTTGTCTTATAACATTACAAGACATAGTTTACCCATTGCATAACATAATGAAATCATCACCTAAATATATATATATATATATATATAATTAAAATATTAAATCAATGTGGGTAAATCTTAAATCAACCCATCTTTGCTCTTACCATCTTCTACCATGTTATAAACATTTTGCCCATTTATCCCACTCCAATATTTTACTCTCTTCAATTAAGCCACAAAAAAAAGCAAAAAATCTCAATTGATCCAGACACTGGTTGCGCATATATTGGGCATGCATAATACAATTTTCCTTGATACATTTGAAAGATATATTTGAATTAAGTGTAAGAAGCAATGAAGGAGTTATTTAGTGTTCCATACAAGAAATTGTTTTTTGAAATAATTTAAAACTCTATTCAGTAATATCAAAGAGTTTTTGCTATTTATAGATATTATATAAAAAATAAAATAAAATAACTATCCAAAAAATATAAAACTTTTTATTGTGAATAAATAGAAATGTTGTATAATGATAAGAGATGAAATCGAAAAGATTTTGGAAGTTGTGGAAGAAGAGAAAATCAACATTTGGTAGTACACACCAAAAGACTTGCAAAAATTGGTAATTCTTTATTGTAGAATATATCTATACCAATCAATATGATAAAGCCTTCCATGAGATTGAGCAGCATATTCCAAGTCGTGTCATGTTTATTGATCAGAATTTTTATTTTCTCTGTTGCATTATTTCTTGAACAAAGCATGTGCAGAGTTCAAGCTTTAAATATTACAAAGCAAAAACAATAATTATTGCATTCACGCCACACTTTCATGACTAAGACTGAATAAATTTCATTGAGAATCACTCGCTTGTTTGAACATAAAATAAAATAAAAACACATTCTATATAAAGGTATAATTCTTAAAAGAATCATCACATAATAATGTTTAAAATATGACATTTACACTTGCTTTAAACTCACTCCTGTAGAATTGGTTGGATTAGAAGGTGAAATAATTACAATGATATTAATTGAGTGTCTATGACACCTGGTTTAATTAATAACTCCCATGGTACAGCAAGTACTCCCAACACTAGTTATTATAATTCTTGACAACATTCTCATAGTAATCTTTTCAATGTAAAAAACATTGTTAACAACATCCATAAATCAACACACTTCACAAACGTTTTAAGATCTTGTATTCACCCTCCAACAAACAAAAAATAAATCCATAATTTTGATTTTTTGATTTTTGAAAGAAAAACTTTAAAAAAAAAAAGTAGTCCAATGTCAAACAACCCAACAAAACGAGTTACTTCTTAAAAGAAGTAGAAGGGTGGGGGTGTGGAGGAATTTTACGTTTCCAAACACTAAATATACATTTTGACGTCACAGCGTGCGACAGCGGCGGCGAAACCCTTGCAACCCACCGAGCCACGGAGACAGGAAGAGGAATTATCACCGCGCGCGGTCATGGACCTCACCGCCAGTGGCAGCTGCGAGATGATGAAACACACAGCGCCGAATGCACGCATCGACTGCGCAGCTCGGGGTCGAATCAAATCCTCAACGTATCTAAGTTCCTACAGATATGTATATAGATAGCTAGATAGATAGATAGATAGATAAGGAAGGATATTGCATCCCTACCCAAGTCCAGCTCTCCAGCTACAAAGCAGTCATGGACTTGGTGCGGTGCAGTGCAGTGCAGTGCAGTGACCGAAGACAAGCCAAGTGATGTTTAGGTGCGCCACCGGCGGAAGAAGCCGATCCATCACTGCCGATAGTTGGGGGCAGATCGATGTCGGCGTAGAGTTTAACGGTGTCGGTTGTGGGATTACCGAGCTTCGATGGGGACGGTGGACATGCCTGAGCCGTACTCAGCTGTAGACTCCCATTCTAGTGATGCCGCTAACATCTTCGACAGGGCGAATGTGACGTCCTTCATGCTGGGTCGCACGGCGGGATCGGGATCGATGCATGTCATGGCCAGGCTGGCGATGCTGGAAGCAATCTCTATGGGGTAGGCGGAGTGCAGCTGCGGGTCAATGAACTTCCGGAGCTGCTCCGTTTGCAGCTCCGCGGTGCCTGCATTGAGGACATCGACGATGATGTCTGATAACGCTCGTTCCTTCACACCCTGCTCCTCCTCATCTTTCTCCGGGCGCACAACTGCTTCCTTGCCGGAGAGGATCTCCAAGACCACCACCCCGAAGGCATAGACGTCCGCCTTCACGGTTACGAGACCGTGCTCCAGGTACTCGGGCGCCATGTAGCCCTGCGTGCCGGTGATGTGGCGGGTCAGTAAAGGCCCCGCGTCGGCGCTGGCCGCGGATTTGGCCATGCCGAAATTGGCCACTTTGGCACGGAAGTTCTCGTCCAGGAGGATGTTGCTGGTCTTCACGTCTTTGTGTACGAAGCTAGGGTTTGTGTAGTTGTGGATGTACTCTAGCCCAGAAGCTACATCGAGAGCAATTCGCACTCGTGAACACCACGGTAGATAAGCTGCGCTTTGAGAGAATGTGGTGCGGCCGATTGCGGCTTGGTTCCGCAGGCAATCGTTGAGGGATCCATGTTTGGCATACTCATACACGAGGTACAAATTTTCTGACCCGCCCACGCACAGCCCCACCAGCTTCACTAGATTGCTGTGGTGGACTTGGCAAAGGATTTTGAGCTCCTGGGTCATGTTCCCCTTCATCTGCTTGATTGCAACAAGCTGACCGTTGATACAGCCTTTGTACACCGATCCTTGAATGAAATTCTCTGGACTGAAGCCTTGAGTGGCAGATTGAATCTCTTCATGTGAAAGCAAGACTGGCTTCTCTGACCCGACCATGTCCGACATGCCTGCGAGCAACTCAAGATGTACCATGTTCGGGCGCTTCATTTCTTCCGTGCTTCTCGTTGAGCCGGTGGGTGCAGGATGATAGTACTCATGGCTCTCGTACAGGTCTTTGGGTTTCGTCCCTGAATTTCGGGATGCCTTGAACAAAAGCAGTAATGCAAACACCGCCGCCAAGGTCAAACCAAACGCTCCAACCGCGATTCCGATGTAGAGTGGTGTCTGCGATGCCGATTTCGTAATCACTGCAGGTGCAGCATTCGGCGACGCTACAGTTGCAGGTGGACTCGGCGGAGGCTGAGAGGTAACCGGAGCCCAATCCATGGTTGCCAGTGGCGGTAAAGTCGCAAGCGGGACGAGCAGAGTGGTGTTCACATCCAGGATCGACGACGAGTTCACGTTGTTCGCCCTGCTGAGATCTGTCGTCGAGATGCCGAACCGTGCACTGATAATGTCGAGCGTTTCAGAAGGGTACACAGTGGTCGTGACCAAATAATTCGTCCCATTCGCAACCTGCGCCGCAGTTGGACATGCACAGAATATCGGCACCGTTATTGTGTCGCCAATTGTGAGGTTATACACGTCCTTGGACGGATTCGAAGCCATCATGGCCTGGTACCTTGTCAGACCCCCATACTCGGTAACAGACAACAGCCAGAAGGTGTCCCCCTTTACGATAGTGTGGGAAACCTGCATTTGGGACCTTGCGTTCAGGCATCTGCAGTCCAAGGGGACGTAGAGGGCTTGCGTCTGCTTAAGAGAAGCAGTTGTGGACAGTAGGTTCATCCCACTCACATTGGCAACGGCTGCAGCAGTTTTGTTGAAGTAGTCTCCAACTTTTCGTAGTGACTCCCCTGCCTGGAAGGTCCTATAGAAGGCGAAAGTGCTGCATGACGTCGAAGACGGTGCTGCATTGCATGCGTATCCCTCTGTGTCGTTGTAATTCTGTTGCGCCATGGTCGTCAAAGGGCCCATAGTCGCTGCCCATAGCATCAATATTGCTAACACTCGTTTAATGGAGGTTCGCGACATATCATGTAACGGAGAGCAGCCAAAAACATGACGATATCGTGAGTATGCCATCCTCGCCTGACCCACTTTTGCCGACTTCTGTGCTCCACTATAGCAGTCGATCAATTCATCTAATGAATATACTTGTCTCCACCAGATGAATCAAATGGAGAATTCGCCTCAAAAATGGACGCCGCACTCCAATCTCTTAGCTGCAAAAAGACACAAACTGTCTTGCCGATTACAATGCATACGTCGACGCTGACACTGCAGTGTGTAAAAGCCATGTAAAAGTTTCTTATGCAAAAAAATCTCACCCCAACGTCTCTGAGTGAGACACTTGCAGAACACACCGAAAAGGTTTTCACGCAAGAAATGCGAATAATCTGAACGTTCGATTGCCTAGACAAGCGAGGGATGAAATTAAGAGAACTATAGTGGAGAAAAATTATCTCGACAAATCTGTCATCGCTCAAGTTCCTTCTCAAATTTTATCCCATTAATTCAAACAACTTCGCAAAACTGCTCACATCCTCTATAACTGTAGTAGGCTCGTCGGGTCGCATGCGCACTGTGAAAGCTAAGCAAACCCTCGCCTCGTCAAGAATCTCCATAACTTCTAAAACGATTTTCTTCACACTTAGCTACAGCGTTGTCGAGGATACGTGAAGGAAAAAACACTCATTCACGATCTCAAACAAACAAAGAACTCGGCACCTCTCCATGACAACACACAGCAATAACCTATTCAAATCACAGCAGCACCTCGAAAAAGAACAACACAACCCAGAACACAGAACCACTCTGCAGCAGACTAGACAAAAAACTACCAGTCACTACGTCACGACAACCCTCGAAGCTCCCAAAACTCCGCGGTTTCGGAAATAAGGGCCGGCACTCACCTCAGAACCCCGACCCTGCCTGGAAGTCGCTGCAACCACGAGAACAGGAAAACCTGCAGGTCTCAAAACAGTCTACATAGTATTCACCCTAAGATGGAATTAAACCCCACCCACCCATAGTTCGTCGAACCTCCAGAAGCAATTACTAACACGCATTTCTGGCCCCCCTTTTCTGAAGCTGGGCCTTGTGAGGTCGCCTGTACCGGGCACTGGAAAGTGCGACGCTACAGGCCGCGGTGGGCGCAGCCTAGTCGCCGGCATCACCAAAGCTCCCATCTGTGTGGTGTCTGTTCCAAAGACTTCCACCGCTGCAATGTGTGCATTCTTTCATGGGGCAGTTGTACCGACAGAAGCGGATGATTTCGGTGACCATGCAGCCCGATTTGGATATCTTGTTGTTGAGCAATGTTGCACCGCTTTGCTCCCCGCTTTCTTCGTCCACCGTCTAGCTTTTCCGTTCGTCCGTGACCGTCTTCCATTACGTATGGACGGACGTCCATTTGAGCTTGTCGTTCGTTTGACAGGAAATGTGGATTCTACTAATACGGGGTCATCGTCTCACTAACTAACGAACTAACTGACGAACTAGTATAGCTTGGGTCATGCTGATGTGGCCCCCTGCAAAGCATATTATCCACGCTGAGGATTTTTTTTAATTTTGTTTTAACGGTGAATGGGTCTTAAGGGGATCTAAGAATTTCATTTGTGGCAAAACTTCGGCTATTTTTGAACTGTCGTGTGTGTGGATTTTTGTTGTTCCCACACTTTGTTTGGAATGAGGACGAGACTGATTTTGAGCTAAATTTAGTTTTGGTTCTTGTGTGGTGCATTTCATTATTATTATTCTTATTATAAAAGCATTGGACCTCTTTGTAATAATAATAATAATAGAAAATTGTACGGAAACTTCGGGAATTATACGTTTATATGATTGAAGAATGTGGTTGGGAGATTTCTTAGCTTTGAAATTGTCATTAAATTTAGTAATGTATTTTTTACATTTTTTTTTTGAAAATAGAACATGTATGGTTTGTATATTAATTCACACTTCGTAACTACTTCTGTTGCAATTATGAGTTTTGCAAGATTACAACATGTCCCAAGCTGTTTATTATTTTGAATATATAAAATTCCTTTTTTTTTTTGGTTCAATTACCTAAATTTTATCATTTGTTCATTTTTTTATGATGTGTACGTGGAAGCAAATAAAATCAATAAGGACATTATCAACTATCTAGCAAAAATCATATATTCATTATTATCAGTTCGCATGAAATTTTGTCGTTTTCCACCCTAACTGCAATAATGTGCATAAAATAGGAACAGGAATTTTATTTTATAAGAATAAAATAAAATAATGTTAACTAGACTATTTTTAATGTCCATAACTTTACTTTTTAAAAAAATACATATCTGGGGACATTTTTATTCCATTTTGTGAATTCCTTTTAAATTCCAAATATTTTAAATCATTTTATGTGCCAAAACATGAATCATTTTCAAAATAGACTACGGACATAACTCACTTTAGAATGAACAAAAACATTGTGGAGTAGGATTTTAAACATCTGAAAAAGATTCTAATGTTATTTAAACAAAAAAATAAATCAAATGCAATAGAAAATGTGCAGAAAAGTGTCCACCACACTTTAGCATTAGGAGCATTCAATTCATTTTTGTTCAATCTCTTCATCCAATTCAGCTTTGTAATGCATGTGACTGATGACCCATAGTGTACAAATCAAAATTTCACAATACATGATGCATGATCCATGATATATTTTCCAAAACAAGCAACCAATGGTTCATACAATCTAAAGGCTGGGCAGAATTATAGAAGTACTTTGAGAAAAATATTTTTAATGTGTTTTATTTGACGCAATCCATGACGAATTAGAATAAATTATCTAGATATATACTACTTTAAAGAAAGAGGTTATATAAAAATAATAATAGATTTATGTTTATATTTAATAATAACAATAATAATGCTCCAGGCGGATTCATTTAAGAATAAAAACCAACATCATAAAGTCTCATTTTCAGAATTGTGTATGTCATAATAAAAACAATATATATATATATATATATATATATAAATATATATATATATATTTAAAATGGATTAAATACTTATCTTGAAAAAATATATACAGAAATAAAGAGGAAGACAAGTAGAGCGATTTGAAACACACAAAATTTGTTTCATGGTTTGTGATAATTTTGGTCATTTTGTAATTTTGTCTTTTTTTGCATCCTATTGAAAATGTCTGCCGAGCCAATCTATTTAGATTGGGAATGTGCAATGTATGGTTAGAAATGCAACACATTTATTAGAAAGACACTTCAAATCCTCAAGATACAAACAAATTTCCCGTTGGGTGAAAACCATGACGTGTTGTTGTGTCCAAAAGCCACAAATGGTACACAAGTTGGTGAAAAATAGAATATCATGCTTGTGAGACTTTGTGGGTATCTAAAAGACTAGCTAAAAATCTTTCCATATGTGTACCACTTTTCCTTTGATATGCATATATATATATATATAAATATATGAATAAATGAATGAAGGTGATGATTTTTGATTTTTGATTTTTGATTTATACTACTTTTGGGTCAATATGGGGGGGTTAAATATTAGGGTGCCAAATGTGTCCTAAGCATGTTAGCATGCTTTTTAATCAATTTAAGTAAAGTAGAAATCATGTGGGGTGTAGCAATATCAATTGGGGATTTAGCATTAACAATTCTCGATAAATATGTTTTAAACAATAAATAAATAAAATAAAATAAATAAACAAGACAAAGATAGCAAACACAACGTTTGTCATTGTTTTCACACGTGGAAATAATTCACTTCTTAAAGGGGGGTTGATCGTGGGACCAGAAAGGGCCCGTTATTTCGCCCCTGTGTCCCTGGGGCGCCCGACCCATGATTGCCTGGTCTCCCGTTGTACAAAGGACTCGACACGATTGGCGTGAAAGAATAGAAGCTTCTTTACCCGATCTACGTGGACAGGGCCACGCTGGCGACTCAGACTTTGACCTGCTCTGACCAAGGTCCACGCGTATACAGAGCTTTTGCTCCCAACGCTTGTGAACGTCGTCGGGAACAAGTTCACGGGTATGGTGTGGATAGGGTTCGCCACGTGGTGAATTCCAAGTGGGTGTATAGTTGTCCCCCCTACTCTGTTGACAATTGATGCCCTATTAGGAAACTTCCTCGAAGATAAGGTTTTGGATGCCTGGTCCGTGGAGGTTTTTCGGTATACGTTCATCCAAAGGGATGAGGAAGTAGTGAGAGCGTGAAGGTCAGTCACCGGCATTGGAGACCATGCTTGCTCTGACCTGTCAGGGGAACGCAGCGTTCCCTCCTCCCACGACGGTGGAGTACGTGTTCCCCTCTCTTGAACCCAACAAACTTTAGGTCGAAATTCTATTGTTATTCTTTTGCTGTTACCAAAGTGAATATTTACAATGTGGTTTCATATATGGATTCTTTATACTTGGTTACATTTTCTTTGTAAAATAAATAAATAAATAAATTGAGAGTTAATACATCTTTGTAGGTTTTCTACATACAAAAGAATGTAATTTTCTTGAAGTCTTCATAACAGATGCTTTTCCAAAATGTGAGAAAAGGATTTAATGGATTATTATAGCTATCATGATTGTGTTGTTTGAATTCAGGATATTGAAAAGATTCTTAAAGCACCATGCTTGTTTAAATTAAGTTATAACTATTACTTAGGTAGAAAGTGAATTTGATAAAAAAATTATTTATTGAATAAGAGAGGAATATTTAAGAATAAAAAATAATTATTTAATAACATTTTCTTGAAAATTTAGTTTATACGAAAGCACCAAAGTAGTTTTTTTAAAATAAATATAACTTTTATTATTGAAGCTATTAAGTTAAATAATGGTTCTTATTTATTTTATTTATTTCAATCTAAAAACCCTAATAATAAAAATTTGATCACTAAAAGTTGTGAAATTATTTATTTAGTAAAATAATATATACATATACATATATATAGTATTGCTAATGCCACTACAATTTTTGCTATTGCCTCAATAACTTACCCTCTACAACATGTCATCATAATTTTTGCTAATGGCACTACAAAAGAATATATATATATATATATATATATATATAATATTGCTAATGCTACTACAATTTTTGCTAATGGTACTACAAACTATCCTAAACTTATGTTGTATATCACAATACACTTTATAGAATATTGCTGATATGCACTACAATGGATAAAGTACAAATTTGTGATGGATGTGTATTTTAGTATTCTATAAAATACATTTTATAGTACAACACAAGTTTAAAGTAGCTTGTGGTAGTAAGAACAAAAATTGTGATGGCATGTGATGGATGTCTAGTTGTGATGGTAGTAACAAAAATTGTGGTGGCATTAGTAACATCTTATATATATATATATATATATATATATATAACAATAAGAATTAGAAAAATAATATAAAAATTTAATATATCAAGTATAATTTTTTATATTTATTTTGAAACAATGACTTATTTTGGCTATTATAACTTTTTATAACAATAAATATTTTTAAAATTAAAAAAAAATAAATTAAAACTCTTTTTGGAATATGAATTAAATAAAATAAAATAAAAAACATTCTATACAAACCTTGGATCTATGTTGGATCATTTTCAGTTATATTTTTAATGCAACTAAGACACCACATGACTTACAGCTAAGAATCATTACCTATCAAATGATAAAAAGCCTACAGAAGATGAAAAATTCAATATTTAACATATATATATATATATATATATATATATATATGTATATAAACAATTTTTTTTTACAATTTAAGGACAAATTTTGTAAAAATGTGTATAATAGTCCATCCTAATAATAACCATTTCATGTTTGATAAAATGTGCCTAAAAATAACAAAAATAAAATGCATCAAAAACACCAATACTAAATCCAAGTC